ACGCTTACTATTTGCGAAGGAAATATATCTGTATAAATGAGGGCTGGGTTCAATCCCATTGGTGGCTTTAATCCACTTAACTTCATATCGATGAGTACCAACTTGTCTGGGAATCAAATGCTGCACTATGCATCGTGCTGACCACATTGTCTTCAAAATTGTGGAGTCTTAATCTTCATGACATATCTGACAGTCAATGGGCTGTGGCGAGAAGGATTTAAATAATTTATATCTATAATATTCTTCATACTGCTATCAACAAACTATGAAATACTGTTTAAAAAATGAAATTTCTACATACCTTTATAGACCGCCCTACCCCTTTATAGGTCCATATTTTTCTCGTAATATTGTATTAAAATAGTTTTGAGAACGAAATCGATTAAAAAGAAATTCTTTTAGCTTATTAACGAATATAATTTTGATTGATGCGACCATTTTTTAAAATGGTTAGTAGACGAGTGTGATTTTAAAACCTTTTACCTTCTGTAAAGAATTGAATCTTAACTTGCACTCAATTATAACCGAATTTTTAAATTCCGTGTTTATGCCTACAAATAAACTCGATGAGAAGTGATCAAATGGATGAAAGCAAAAGACGAAAAAATATCCCCAGTGGTCTCGCAGTGGACTCATCCAGTGTTTTCATCATAGAAAAAAAATGGGTGAGAATTTCCCACCCTTTCTCAAAAACAGGGTGAGNGATCAGAGTGCGTAGGGACCGAGGGTGTGCGGTATGGGTCCGCGTTAAACTGTTCTACCGTAAAGTGCTTAGCTTCGCGTGCAGGTCGTCGGGCTACCAAAGCAGGGGCGAGCCATCCCCTCTGCAGAGGATCAAAATTGTGATGGCATGTCTTCGGATCATCCTGAGGGATGTTTCCCAGACCGTCGCCAACAGCCCACTGTGCAGCTCCAGTACGACGTAAATGAACTACAACAAAAGATCCCCAGTGTTCGTATCTCTTCCTAACATCACGCAAACCGTTACTGTCACCCACATTTATGTAAACAAAACCCTTTATTTTTTTTACTGTGTTTTCTGAAAAATAGATTCCCAGTAACATTTAAAAATAAATGACGTTGGTGGGAAGTATACTTACCACTACCTTATAAAGTGTTAACGTATATTTACCACCACAATTATAAAGATACAAATCCTGTGAAAAACGTAGACCTTTAAAGGCTGTCGAAGGCTAATATTTCAAGAATTGATTCAATGATTTATTAAAAAGGACAGATATACGTTACGAATTTATTTGGATTCACTCGTTAATTCTTTAAATTAAAAAGAAGTATTAAAACTACAAGAAGTTTCAAAAAACGAATGAAATGCTTCTTCATATGAAAGGAAACAAAGCAATCATGNGTCCCGCAGTGGACTGATCGTTAAGACACGGTTCCCAGCAGGTCACCGAAGTCAAGCATCACTGGCTGCGGTCAGTGTGCGGGTGGGTGACCACTTGGATCAGTCTGCGTAGGGACCGAGGGTGTGCGGTATGGGTCCGCGTTAAGCTGTTCTACCGTAAAGTGCTCGACTTCGCGTGCAGATCGTCGGGCTATCAAAGCAGGGGAGCCACCCCCTCTGCAGAGGATCAAAATTGTGATGGCATGTCTTCGGATCATCCTGAGGGATGTTTCCCAGACCGTCGCCAATAGCCCACTGTGCAGCTCCAGTGCGACGTAAATGAACTACAACAAAAGATCCGCAGTGTTCGTAACTCTTCCTAACATCACGCAAACCGTTGCTGTCACCCACATTTATGTAAACAAAACCCTTTATTTTTTTTTACTGTGTTTTCTGAAAAATAGATTCCCAGAAACATTTAAAAATAAATGACGTTGGTGGGAAGTATGCTTACTACTACCTTATAAAGTGTTAACGTATATTTACCACCACAATCATAAAGATACAAACCCTGTGAAAAACGTAGATCTTTAAAGGCTGTCGAAGGCTAATATTTTAAAAATGTATTCAATGATTTATTAAAAAGGACAGATATACGTTACGAATTTATTTGGATTCACTCGTTAATTCTTTAAATTAAAAAGAAGTATTAAAACTACAAGAAGTTTCAAAAAACGAATGAAATGCTTCTTCATATGAAAGGAAACAAAGCAATCATGCAACCCGGACTCATGGTACAAGTGCAAAAGGCCAGTTGCTCTTTTCTGACAAACCGTAAAATCAGCATCCCAAAAGTATTTGTCCGAGGTATGTGACTTTTCGAAATCCACTCATGATATTTTAAAAATGTATTTAAAAAAATCTTCAATGCAGACAATCCGTAATTGTTGACTCTCATTACATCTTAAATCAGGGTACACAACACATATTTGATCCAAAACAGGAGACTGACTTTTTTGATAAATTTTATGCTAGACATCTGACCGAGAAATATATCCTGAATCACATGACTCCAGTTTAAATTCTCCTCTCTCTCTGAAATCACCTTCTCATTTGGCAAAGTTAAAGTCGGCCATCAAACAGATCGAGTAAATATACCCTGGCCAGGATGAAATAAGCTCAAAAGTGCTTTAGAGGTGTTGAAGATAGGCCATATTTCGTATCTTACCCTTCCTTATGAATACATTGAGGTTGCTGGTCCAAATTACCTCTGAATGGAAAGCTGCATTGATCCTTTCATTAGTCAAACCTGAGAAGCCAAGATATCTTATTTTCTCATGTAGACCGATAGCACTAACTAGCGTACAACCATGGATGCAAAACCATGAAGAGAACGGGGTTTGGGCGATTAGCCTTACGCCAAGAACCTTCACGGTTTCTTATCTCGTCGGAGATGTGACATTCTGCTATCCATCATCTTCGGCTAACCGCCTTTTTACAGTAAGTGATCGACATCACCCAGGCATACACTGTTAAAAATTTCTTTCCAACATTACGGTAAAATGAACGGCAGCAGTCTGTCCATCCGATTAACCGTAAAGTTTACGGTTGAGAAAATTTCTTTACCTTTACGAATGTAAAACCGTTTACAACAAACACGGTTAAAATATCATGGTAACACTACTAAACGGTTGTCCTACTGTATACACCTAATACAGTTAATTAACCATGTCTAAAGAATTTAATTGCTTTATAACCGTATAGTTTAGTAACCGTAAATATAAAAGTCTATGGTTTGGAAACTATGTACAACATCTCGGGCTAAAGAGATAACAAGCATTTATAACAATAATATAGAATAATTGTCTCATATGGAATGTAACTGTAAACGTATGGAATCTTTACGATTTATTATCTAATTGGAACTAATACAGGTAAAAAAAAAGTAACATTATTAAGCTGATTTTAAATTTATGAGACTAAAACAATGAATTACGATCAGAAGATGCAAACAGCTTATTAAAACTGTTTAGTAAATTGTAAACTCTATAACATTTGTGGTCAAGATTTCAGAAAGCAGATTAGGCGCTAAAATAGGTTCAATTTTTAAAATAAATATGAAAATAGTTTGTAGCTGTAAAATTACACTGGTGGAGTAACTTAATAAATTTAATGGTAACCTAAGGCCTGTTGAGTGACCATTTTCTTAACAATGCTTGTCTACTTGAATAGGAACTATATAACAACAGGGTCCTTATTGCTCGTTTGGCATAAGGCCAGCAAGAATGAAATTTTCAACAGGTTAAATACTGAACTTCAAGATATATCATTTAATGTATAAGAAAACAGAATATAAATGATAATTAGAACAATTAATACCACAATTTTTGAAAATTAAGTTATTCTCAACATCTAAACTAGGTAATTCTAACACCAACTGTTCCAATTTTTTAAGTAACACAAAGTTTTTTATTAAAACTTCATAAACATGTTGATAAATTACAGATAATGAAAAGGAAACATAATTTTACCATTCATAAGAGTTACCTATAATTTACAAATGCTTACTGGTTGTGAACCAAACACAAATTTTAAAAAATTAATATCAGTATGTTTTAATTTAGCCTGTGCACATCACATATCTATTTTTGCACATTAAGTCAACCTGTCCTTCTTTCATCATAAATAAACTTCAAGATGAGTAATTTTTTGGAAAAAAAAAAAAACTCTAAAATTATCCTTTAACATGATTCAAAGTACTTTATTTTCAAATGAATACTATTTTAAATTGAACAAAAATCTCGAACTTAATTTAGTAAAAATATATATTTCCACATTTTAGTTGATTCCTCAAACGTGCTTCTGGCTTTTACAAATAACAAACAGACATAAGAAAACTTTTTATTTTCTAGATAAAAAATTTAAAATAACTATGAAAAAATATGAAAATAACAAATAATAAAAAAAAATGCAGTTTTGTCACTTTTTCGTAACAAAATATACTGGTTTTCGGAAATTTCGAACTTTTCTATACTCCTGTACTACATATAAGGTGTATTCAGTCGATTAACCATAATGTATGTTTATTTATTTAAAAAATGGTTATCATGACCTACTTCGAAGACGCTCGCTAGATAAAACTTTTCGTTTGTGTAAGAATTCATATTTCTTATATCCATGCTAGATGAGTGAACGTTCATTCTCTATTAAGTCGCATAAGTATCATTATTACTATCACGCTCTGTTACAGAAACTATTTAATAACTAGAAAATATGATGTTAATGTTTTAAAACTGTCAGTTCATTCTAAATTAAACACTTTAAAATATAAATCAAAATTAAAATTTTTAAACTATTTCTTTGATGTAAATTCTCATCGGTACATTAAAACTCTATGAATAACTCTTATTTATGAAAAGACTATAACTCAATACTACTAATCATTATTCAGAAAAGTAAAATTTTTAACTAATTAAATCTATGAATAAATTTATTTTATTTTATTTTTGGTTTCGAATAAAATTGCATTTAACAGATATTTTGAAGTTAGTTAAACTTAGATGTAATCATATTATGAGAGACTTTGAATCAGTAGGTAAGTACTCAATAGATTTTAAAATTGGTTAAATATTATTGATCTTTTTTGTGAGAAATATGTATCCCGGTAGCATAAGTGTTATATACAAGTGTTTTCATGTATTGATCCAAATTGACTTGGAAATCATATTTAATAACTACTTTTCGCTAATCTGCAAAAATTTATTTTATTTTAAAAATACATTTACCCAACAATAAAAGACAGACAACTTCTGAATCTCATTTACCTAATATAACTTGAATTTTTTCTCAATTAGTGAAATTTTCTTTACAAATATTAATACCAAAAGTAATTTTAGATGTTAATTTGGGTTTTTCACCACTTGTCTTTTTTTTAAAGGAAAAAAAAAACATTTAGTAATAAAATTACAAGAGCTACTTTTATAGAAGTAATTATACAACATGTGTTAGAAAAGATTTATTAAATAAAGATGTTACAAATGATTTTAATTAAAAGTTGCCAGAAGTCTTTTTCTTTCTCATTGAAAAAAACATATTAACTTGAACTCAGGATTCTAATGCTAAGAAAATTAGTAACAATTTATATTTTAGTCAAACATAACTGGTTGCAAATAAAGTAATATAATCCAGTAATCAAGGTACATTAAAACCAATATGAACATGAATGCAAACCTTTCGATCCCTATTATTTAAAAAACTATTTTATCACATACTTCATAAATATGGTGTCACTAGTATCAACAATACTGCATTTAGTCAGATGACATTTCTGAGAAAAATTCTTTATTCCATTATTATACTACAACAAAAAGGGTTCTCACCAGCGAAAACACAAACAGTAAAGACAGCTTTTGAAAAATGAAAAACTCCTTTTTTTTAAAAAAATATATTAAAAGTATGAGATTTTTCACCAGTTTGAATAAAACTGCCATAAATTAGATGGACTTAGGTGGAAAAAAAAAGAAAACTTTTAACATAAACATTCTGATAAACTCTTATTACATATTCTACAAGAATAAAACTTCTCACCAGTATGAACACGACTGTGTCTGATCAGACAACCTTTTTGTGAAAAACTTTTTTTACATATACTACAAAAATAAGGTTTCTCACCAGTATGAACACGACTGTGTTCATTCAGAATCCCTTTATCTGAAAAACTCTTATTACATATACTACAAGAATAAGGTTTCTCACCTGTATGAATACGACTGTGTTTTATCAGACTACATTTTTGTGAAAAACTTTTATTACATATACTACAAGAATAAGGTCTCTCACCAGAATGAACACGACTGTGTTTTTTTAGACAACCTTTTTGTGAAAAACTTTTATTACATATATTACAAGAATAAGGTTTCTCACCAGTATGAACACGACTGTGTTCATTCAGAATCCATTTATCTGAAAAAGTCTTATTACATATACTACAAGGATAAGGCTTCTCACCTGTATGAATACGACTGTGTTTTATGAGACTAAATTTCAGTGAAAAACTTTTATTACATATACTACAAGAATAAGGTTTCTCACCAGTATGAACACAACTGCGTTCATTCAGAGTCCCTTTATCTGAAAAACTCTTATTACATATACTACAAGAATAAGGCTTCTCCTCAGTATGAATACGGTAATGTTTATTTAGAGTCCCTTTGTCTGAGAAACTCTTATTACATATACTACAAGAATAAGGCTTCTCACCAGTATGAACATGACTGTGTCTGATAAGACTACTTTTGAGTGAAAAACTTTTATTACATATGCTACAAGAATAAGGTTTCTCCCCAGTATGAACACGACGGTGCTTAATCAGAGTCCCGCTGGTTGAAAAACTCTTATTACATATACTACAAGAATAAGGCTTCTCCTCAGTATGAATACGGTAATGTTTATTTAGAGTCCCTTTGTCTGAGAAACTCTTATTACATATACTACAAGAATAAGGCTTCTCCTCAGTATGAATACGGTAATGTTTATTTAGAGTCCCTTTCTCTGAGAAACTCTTATTACATATACTACAAGAATAAGGCTTCTCACCAGTATGAACATGACTGTGTCTGATAAGACTACTTTTTAGTGAAAAACTTTTATTACATATACTACAAGAATAAGGTTTCTCCCCAGTATGAACACGACAGTGCTTAATCAGATTCCCTCTGGTTGAAAAACTCTTATTACATATACTACAAGAATAAGGTTTCTCACCAGTATGAATACAACTGTGTTCATTCAGAGTCCCTTTATCTGAAAAACTCTTATTACATATATTACAAGAATAAGGCGCTTCACCAGTATGAACACAAATGTGTGTAGTGAGATTACTGCTTTGTGAACAAATTTTATTACATATACTACAAGAATAAGGTTTCTCACTAGTATTCTGAGCACAACTGTGTGTAGTCATATTACTTTTTTCTGAAAAACTCTTATTACATATACTACAAGAAGAAGGTTTCTATCCAGTATGAACACAACTGTGATTATTCAGAAGCTCACTTTGAGAAAAACTTTTATTACATATATTACAAGAAAAAGGCTTCTCACCAGCATGAACAAGACATTGTTTTGTTTGATTACTTTTTTGTGAAAATCCCTTATTTTATATACTACAAGAATAAGAGTTTTCACCAGTGTGAATTTTAGTGTTTAATCGCACTTTTTCCTGAAAAACTCTTGTTAGAATAACGAGAATAAGGTTTACTTACAGAGTGATACTTATTCTGAATTAAATTAGGCCTTTAATAATATATGATACAAATAAAGAGCATGCTGAATCAAGTTACTTACTTTGACTAAATTTTTAATTAAGTAAAATATAATACTGAAGAAATATGATCACATTACAGCAGGCATATGATTTATTTAATAGATGCAGCTGTGAAAACATTAATTTAAGTTATATTGAGATGTAAATATTTTCTATTTTTCACAAAACTACTTTAATATTTCTTTTTTGTTGAATATACCAAGATACAAATCTAAATTATTTCACTTTATGTTTTTTTTTATCACAAAAAAATCTGCAGAAACAATGTACAACTTCATGTATTGGATTTAATTGGATACATTAAGAATGAGTGCAGTTTTAGATATAATGTAAAATTGTTGTTATTTGTTATTAGGAAGACATATTATAAAAATGAACAGGAACAAACAATAATGATATTAACTGTTTTGAACATGAAATTATCAAATTTGATTTCATTAGTAATTTATTCACATAAACACTGCAGAAATATAGTTCATTATAAATTAAGAAAAGCAAAAAAAAAAAATTTTTTTTTTCACTATCACAAACTTATAAGGTTTAACATTATCTATTAAAATATTAAAAAAAAAAACTTAATTGCCAATTTTTATATCAATGTTCTATCATGCACAAGAAAAGCAAGCTCCTATTCATTACCATAAATATGAGAATATCAAAAAAGTTTAATTTTATTTTTGAGTATTAAATTGCCCTAACAGAAAACATTTTCTCAGTGTGAACAAGAAAATCACTATTAAAATTTCTTGTGTATGAATATCAAATCATATGTGTTTTATGGAAGGGACAGACAGCTTAATTATCTGCAACTGTAATTTTAATCTATTTGCAACCTTTCAATAATACACTGCATCAAAAGTTCATTTAGAGTGTTATTTAAACCAAATTATTATTTTTTTCTTGATTAATTAATCACAATGACTGCTTAAATAAATTATTTCCATATTATGAACTCTAAAAAATTAAATGAAACTAATTCTTTTTGTACACTTTTTAGAACAGAAGTAAAATGTTTTACAGTAAAAAAGTATAATAATGAACTACACTTGGAAACTTATAAACAAACTACATGCATTAAATTTCTATATGTATAAATATTTTTCTGTCATTGCACAGATAGTATTTGCTGTTAGTATTGCAACATAGAATGTTACTGCCAACTTAGAATGAGATTGCCTTTAATAATAATGCTTCCTTTTGCCAGAAAGAAGTTACACACGCTTAATGAATAGTTTGATTATATAAATCATACAGAAAACACAATCTGCAAAAAAAAAAAAAATATGTGCGCACAATATGAAATTTATTTACTGTCAGCAAGAAGATATTTTATCATTCACATCGATTTTTTCTCCGTATAAAGAAGATAACATATGAATTAAGTCTGCAAGGAAATAACTTTTTAAAGCGCGATCTATATTGTTTCGATTACTGCGATGGTAATTCACTTTATATTTGTATGATTATGGATACGCAGGCTTATAAATTTAATCCAAGTAGGGGCAAATCAAAAACACAAATAGGGTTAGTTAAAGTCGTCTTCGGTATAAGTAAGAAAGTATGTTTTAACATAGTTTATCTCAGCAAAGAATTTTTCAACAATTAAGTACATATTAGCGGTGAGAGTTGGTTACGGGTTGCCTACTTCAACACACCTGATGTCCAGAATCTGGGACAGTTTTTAAAAAGTAGAGGAGGCTAGAATATCAACTTATCCTTCTCTTAAAAGAGTATTCATACTGCATTGTAAAAAACCGCATATGCGATTCCAACGATACCATTGAGAGAATGATTGGGAGATTTATTGCGAGTAAGGTATTTCACTAATGAAGTCTTGTTTGCATCTCAGAATTCACACATGAGTTTTCAGCATGCACTATTTTTGAGTCTTTAAGACCCATTATCGTAGTTTACATTTAACACACCTCAGATTGAGGAAGAATGACAGCCTAAATTGACAATCCTTTTTTCACGACGATGATTGGAAGTGTGTTGGATTGTTCTGTGTCAACACTCCTTAAATTAGAACATATTTGTATATAAATTAGAATTTTTTATAGAATATTTTATTATATATTATTATATATTTTATTATTATATGTAGCTATAGAATATCTTTTTTATAGAATATTTTCTGTAGAATATTTTAAGATATCCATCTTTCATATGAAGTTAATTCTGATTCAGTAAAGTTAATTCTGATTTATCAATTTCGACGTAGGTGTTTAAGTTGAATTGAAACGATATTTCCCCCGTCTTACGACAGTCGATGTTGCAGTTGAATTCCACCCTTTTACACTTTATTTATGTTGTGATATTAATTTTCCTAAATTAATTAAATTTGTTTTAGACCTACTAGAATATGAAAATTACAGAAAACTCTTATGACTGGTAAAATTATGCTTAAATTTAAATAGGTAGGCTGGTCGGTACTTAAATTTACGTCTTACTAGAGCTGCTTAATGGGCTATTGGTGAAGGTTTGGGAAACATCCCTGAGGATGATCCGAAGACATGCCATCGCAATTTTGATATTCTGCAGAGGAAGTGGTTCCTCTACTTTAGAAATCCGATGACCTGCCGGTGAAGTCAAGTGCTTTACGATAGAAAAGTTTAACGAGGACCGATCCCGCACACCCTTGGTCCCTACGCAGGCTGAATCAAAATGGTCACCCACCTGCTTACTGACCACAACCAGTAAAGCTTGACATAGGTGTTCTACTGGGAACTGGATCTTTACGGTCCTCTGCGGGACAAATTTAATTGCAAATCCCAATACTTAAACTTCCTAGAATATCAAGCCTGTTCACATATCGCCTCCAAAGCATAACATAAGCGGAGGGATGCAACGGAAGGTTTCTAATTTTTTTTCGGATTTAAAGGCTATGCTTTAGGAAGCTAGTTATTGTTTGCATTTAGTCAATCCTTCATAAAATACCTACTTATAGTTTGTCTACGGAGAGAACCCCCCCCCGGCCACAAAATCTAAGGCCATCTGCTGGCTGCCATGGAAATAAGAATAGCGAATTTTAGGCACGGTAGCTTCTCTTCATTCTAGGGCTATCACAATAGACCGTAGAAAAAGATTCCCTTTTCTCTAGCCGACCCGAACAAAAACATGTCTTAAATAGTAATCCCACACCCTAACTTGTTACCATAGTTACCGCCACGGGTCCAGACGAATGGCTAGAGGAGTTCTCCAATTTCGATCTCCAATTCCAGAAATGAAATTGGATCGATCTCAAATTCCGGAGGTAAAATTGGAAATTGGAGATCGAATGGCGATCTCCAGTTTTTCTATTTTTATCTGTCCCGCAGTGGACTGATCGTTAAGACACGGTTCCCAGCAGATCACCGAAGTCAGGCATCACTGACTAAGGTCAGTGTGCGGGTGGGTGACCACTTGGATCAGTCTGCGTAGGGACCGAGGGTGTGCGGTATTGGTCCTCGTTAAACTGTGCTACCGTAAAGTGCTCGACTTTGCGCGCAGGTCGTCGGGCTACCGAAGCAGGGGTGCCATCCCCTCCGCAGAGGATCAAAATTGTGATGGCATGTCTTCGGATCATCCTCCGGGATGTTTCCCTGACCGTCGCCAATAGCCCATTGTGCAGCTCTAGTGCGACGCAAATTAACAACAGCAACAACAATGACTATTTTTATCTCTCTTAATCCATGAAAGCTACAAGCGTATTTATGAAGCACTATGCTCCAAAACGGATCGCCAGATTAAAAGATTACTACTGCTACTACTATTGCCGACGATGGAGTAGTTATGAATGTGTTGTAATTATTAAAAAATATTTATTTAACGAACAGTTTAATAAAGACATCTTTCTTAACTAAAACAAGTTTTGTATTATCTATTACATACATATTCGTAGTACCATATTAATATGCCTTCTTATAAAGGTAAAGAACTAGCCCTTTTTAAATATTGCAAGTCATTTCCTATTAAATGTTAATTTGTTATCCAAGTAATTAGTTTTTCTTAACATTTTAAACTTTTTAATTAATTTTCGTTAATAGTATATTTCCTATCACTATTCCGTATGTTTTAAAAGAAATATCTTACCTCGATACCGAATTTATTTTGAGTTTTAAAGCTAATCAACTGATTCTGTTGTTTACCTACTGAAGTAATAATTCGTTCATATTTAACCCATCAACTAGTATGTAAATTGTTGCTTTTTACTCTAAAATATAGAATTCAGATAATAGTAACTAGAATTTTCGATGTGGTATTCATAACAAAGGATTGCATTATATTTTTATTTGTGCTTTTATTAACTATTATTTGTAACATTTAATGATGCATAATCTCTTTGTCAGGATATTTTTTTATGAATTTCTAATTTGAAATATCTCATGAACCATTTGTCTAAATATTACTTTATTATTCATGCAATTTTAGCTTTCCTTACTAGGGCCATCTTTACTAACTTTAAAAATTCGAAAAACTAGCAGTAAAACTTTTTCATTTCTTTGAGAAGTAAATTATTTACAACTATAACTTCATTTTCTTAATTATGACATAGACATATTTCTTTGCAAAATTACCCAGGAATAAATAATTTTTATAAATTGAAATAAGTAACTTTCATAGAAGCAATGTAACTGTCAATAATTTGTTATAATCTTGTGTAATGTATTCTTTCATGAAAAAAAAGTTGGAAAAGCAATGGTTTTATTCTAATTTTTTTCTCTCATTGTTGGATAAGTTATAACTATATATTAGGGGCCGTTCAAAAAGTACGTACACAAAAATGGAGAAATTTTAAACCCCTCCCCCCCTTCGTACATTACCGTACATAAGGTCTTACTCCCCCCCTTAGAGTACGTACATTTTATTAGTCTACCCCCCTTTTTCATAAAAATTAAAATAATTATGTTTTAAATAAAATTAAATATTTACTTAAGGAGGGTGTAGGATAAAGTCAAATTTAAATTTGGTGTATGTTTATAAAGTATGTACTTTGTATAATACCTCCCCCCCTCCCCATCGTACAAAACCATACATAATAGCAAATCCCCATCCCCCCTTCCGGATGTACGTACTTTTTGAACGGCCCCTTATATGTATATTCATTACACCTAGATGTAAGTGAACAGTGTAAATTCTTAAATTACTTTTACAGCTCAGAGCTCAAACTGCAAAAAAAAAAAAAATGTTTTGTTTAAAAACCCTAGATGGAATTCAAAAGTGTGTTTTTTAAAAAAAGAAAAAATCACTTTAAATTCTAAACATTTTAAATGGCTCTTTCTTAAAGTCCCAGACATCAAAAACTGCCCATTCACAAAACTTATTTCTTATAATCATGAAAATAATGCATTATTAAACAAATAATTCAAAAACCCTTTGAACAAATCAGTCACTTGTCAGTTTTCCAACAACCAGCAATAGAGGTTTTTTTAACATTTAAATGTTTATATATTTTACATAAATGTGTATTTTTTGTAAAATTATATATTTTGTAGCAATTAGTGGTTAACTAATAATTTTCACAAAATACCAAAAACAGTATCTTGGCAGAAAAACCTGGTTCGACCCTGAGTTAATTTGGTTAATATGCTCATTTTTAAAATACATAATTGTATTTTAATATTTCATACTTCTTGGTTATATTCATTAACTGTGTTTTTCTAAATTAATATATCTTAAAAATTTACTAAAAAAAGTATTCATTTAATTTCTTTATTCGATTTTGTAAAAATAAATGCTTATTCATTATATTTATTGCTGCACTTTAAGATTATTTTTAACATTTATTAAATATATATTTCAGTTAAGGTGAAATGGGGTAAGGAGCTGTATGATGATGTGGAAGTTAACACTGATGATGATCCCATTGTTTTTAAAGCCCAGTTATTCACCATCACAGGAGTTCCACCTGATCGCCAAAAAGTTATGATAAAAGGAACCACATTGAAGGTTGTGTTATAGTTGGCTTATTAAAAATTCCTTTTTTAAATTTGATATTTAATGTGTCTTTTCAGATGATGTCTTGTGAAATTGGCAGATTATCTTATCTTACCATATTAATTCCAAAAGAAGAAAAAAATTTGTTCCATTGTATTTAATTATTGTGGCTCTTTATCATACATTAAAAAAACAAACTGTGAAGTAAGAAATATTTTAAAGAGTGATGCAGCTAAAGTATATAAAATGCACTGAAAAATATTAGAAAATTTTTTAATTGGATTTTTGTAGTGTAAAAAATATAGGTACTTTGGGATAATCCCGAATAACATATTCGTACTTTGGCATTTTCCCATGGACCATTTTCGCCAAACTCTATATTAGGTACAAAAAAATTCGACAAAAGGTAGCTTCTGCACCAATAACCACAAATTTTATCGTATTTACTTTGTAATCCTTGTACACAAGTTTTCTTTAGCATATTTAAATGAATTATGTGGCAGCAACTGCTCAAAAATAATGATTTGTTTGTTTGCGCTTTAAAAGCTATTGAGGATTTTTGGCCGCCAAAATAAATTATAATATATATAATCAAGAATAATTTAATGTGTAATTGTAAAAAATAGAGTTTTTACTTTGTCTTGATTCTTTTTATTACACTATTTTATTATGTATTTTTGCGCTTCCATTTTTTTGCCTTTATTATTTTAGTATTATTATTATTTGATAAATTTAATGTGTTTAGAATATTTATTTTAGAAAATGCTTTTTGTTATGATGGCGCCAAAGGATTTGTGCATTTTCACGAGTGTCAAGAGGATAATTCAATTGTACCAAAGTATATTCAGTTGTTGAATGTGACAACCATTGTAAAATGCTCCAGAACACATAAATATATATTCTTTATTATGTTTACTGTCTTTAACTTAAAATTTTAGTTTTTAAATTTATTAATATAACCCATAAAGTTCAACAATTTTAATTTATAATATTGGTTTTCGATAGTCATATGTTTTAAGTTGCAGCTTTTTAAAAAATTTTTAAAGGATTAATTCTTTTGATTCTAAATTTTTTGAAAAAATATATAGAATTTACATTTTTGTGTTAGGTGTATATAGGATAAAATATCAAACTCTGAATTAATAGTGTTTAAAGTTGAAAGAAAGAGTAAAAAGTGTGCCAGAAATGTTTTGTCAGTCATTTATCAATCGAAATATGTATTGCCACTTTAGTAGTACATCATCATTTAAAGCTTGTTTTTAAACAAGCTTTGAATGGGAAAAATCATATGTAATATGTCAACATTTTTGATAACCTTCCTTATTTTTTTATGAAACAAAATTTTTTATTTTTCCTAATACATTTATTAAAATTAAGTGTGTTAATTTATAGTTTTAAAATATTACAAAGTAAATTTAAGATTTTTTTAGTATTTTGTGTTAATTTTATTCTAATAAAATATTGTAAAAGTTATTTATATATTATCTATTTGCTTTTTTAAATTTTTTTCAATATTTGTGTAATTCATTCTTAACTTCATTTACATTTACTAAGATAAATTTTCTTTTAATGCAGGATGAAGTTTGGGGAACAATAAAATTAAGAGATGTAAGTATACAATTCTTACTAAAATTTCAGTGATTTCAAAGTATTCTTAAATCTTCCAGTGATTTTAAAGTATTCGTAAGTATTCTTACTAAAATTTCAGTGATTTCAAAACTATTTAGGTTTTATAGCGTTTCTGGTTTAATCACTTGCGTAAGTTTTGTAATTTTTAAATTCTTAATGATACTCCAATAGTTGAAAAATTATTAATTTTTTGAATTTTTTAATTATTTATTTGTTTATAAATCCTCAAACTCTTTTGGTTGCTTTTCCAAATGATTTGATTAATATTCCTGTTAAGTAGCTACCTTTTGAAAATATGTGAATTTTTATATGATCTTCAGAGCAATTAAATGTAGCGTACTTTTCATTTTGACTCAAGCCAATGTACTCTTTCTATTCTGTTATTGAATTTGATGATATTAAAGTTTGTTTTTCTGAAAATATGTAATGTAATTTTCTATATATTTGCCGAATATTCTTTAAAAAATATGCTGCTGCTCTAAATCATGTTTTGTTCCAAAGTGAGCTGTTTATTGACAAAATGACCCTAGTAAATATGCTAAAGTTTGTATTTATTGTATCAATATTAGTGTACTGTATAATATTAGTGTACATCTCTTACTGTCTTGCTACCACAAGAGATGTAGACACCAGAATTGTATGGTGGCACTTAAAGTAATCTTTCTTACATTACACTCATAAACATTAACACTCATAAATTTATGAGATAGTATTATTTGGTCATTAATTTTAGAATTTAATTTCTTTTATTTTTTAATAATTGATTCTTAAAAAGCTTATTAATGAAATATATTATAGGGTGCTACTGTCCTTATGATGGGTACTAAAGAAGAACTTCCTAAGGAACCTGTTGAAAAAGTTCTTTTTATGGAGGATATGTCTGATAATGAATTAGCTACTGCGGTATGTTTCTTACAAATTACATTCTTTTCACATTGTTCTACTCTGTCATTTCAATGGAATGTGTTATTTTGGAAATGCATATGGGTTATACTCCTAAAATGTGATTTTACATTTCTAAATTTTCAACTTTTCACAAAGGGTTCCAGTTTTTCTTTTTGAGAGGCATATGCATATATATATATACATTCATGTATGCATGAATATATATATATTTATACAGTCGAACCTGTTTATCTCAAATCTCACGAGAAAGGCAAAAAGTTCGAGATAAAGAGGTTTCAAATTATACAGGTACTCTAAAAAAATCAAATTTAATTAAGAAATTCTCTTAAAAGTGCTTTAATTGTTTCAAGTAGAAAAATATAGACATTTCTTTAAATTAATTATACCAAATACATCTATTTACATAACAGTTTTTTAACATTTAACTCTGAAAATAATTTTTACAAGATTTTTGACGTAGAATTTTATTTATTTCGATTATTCTTTTGAGGTTAGAAAGATCGCAATTTTCTCATAGCCAACATTTTCCTGGGATTCCAGAGTAATTTATAAGAATTCTACAGCTTTTTTTACTTTTGCATTCACTTTGGATTCATCAATATGATCTTCAGCTTCTTCCTCTTCATCTGATATTCCTTTGACATTACCTATGATTTCCACATTTGTCAATGTTCCGCATGTTGCCAGGCAGTTGTTCACTTGTAAAAATTTTCAAAATTAAGGTCAACATTAAATCCAGATTTTACTGCATTCCATTCTGGCAAATCTGGCTATGCATTTTTTGGCAAATCTGGCAATGCATTTTCAGTGTTAATATTTTCTTCTTCTTTGCTGATGTCTTCAATCTCTTATTCATCATTTTCACAGCTATTCTTAAAACCAGCTTTTAAAGCCATTTTGGATAGTTTTTAGAGAAACATTTCTCCAGGCAAAACTGTAATTCTGATAGCGTCTAACTTTTTTCATCTATGACATCTACAAGTTTGATACCAACTGTTTTTTATAGTTCACTTTAAAACTCTTAATTATCCATTGATCAATTGGTTGCAATTTTGAGGTCAAAATGAATTTCTATTCTTAGCTTTTTTATCTATGTTGAAAAGTTAACCCCTGATGGTCACTACTTATTAACCCCTCACTTACTGCCAGAATCATTGTATTCCTTTCCAGTTAAGGAAGTGCAGGGATAGTGATTGAAATTCCAAGAAAAACCCCCAACCTGTTCATCCCTACTTCCTGTGGATTCACGAAATTCATCTCTGTCTTCGAATTCTACTGATAAAAAAAGTTTTGACATTTGTGCTCTATTATTAGAAATTTGAGAAATGATGGTTTTGAAGAAAAAAATTTCGACATAAACATGGAAAATACATTGATTTTAGANTTTCAAATAATATATACAGAGTTCTTCCTAGGAATAAAAAAGGGCATTATAATACCTGAAGCGGCATCTTTTTTTCTAGATTAATGGACGAGGTTACGCGGGGAACCAGAAGATTATTCTTCTGATTCAAATGAATATGCACCAATTGATGTGTTTTGGAAAAACTATTTTGTGAAGAAAGATAATTTGGGAAATGTCAAATATCCTCTTTTAACAAAGCTTTTTAAAGTTCTTTTGTGCATACCACATAGGAATGCTGATGTTGAAAGAGGTTTTAGTGTGAACAAAAAGCTACTTGATAATAGGGCAAGTTAAAATTCGCATAGTGTTAATGGTTTGAGACAAGTTGTGTCACATGTCAACAAAATAAGTGATTTAAATATNAATTTCACATATGAATATAGGTTTTTGACATTTTCGACATTTTTGACAGTGAGGTTTTTGACGTGACGGTTTAAACCATGGTTTAAACTGTCAAAAACTGTCACATGTCAGAAACCTGCCAACCCTGGTTTGAGACAAGTTGTGTCACATGTCAACAGAATAAGTGGTTTAAATAACTTTAAAGTTAACAAAGATCTGATTAAAGTGGCTCGTGCAGCATTTAAAAATTATTCTGCTCAATTAGAGGTTGAGAAAAAAAGAAAGCGAAAGGAATGTGAAAACATTGAAACGGAGAAAAGCTGCTGNAAAAAAAAAAAAAAAAAAAAAAAAAAAAAAAAAAAAAAAAAAAAAAAAAAAAAAAAAGAGAGTGAATTGATGGCTTCTCAAGATCTCTTAGCTACAGCTGAAAAAAAATATTAAAGATGGGTTAAATAATAAAGACATGTATAACAGCAATATTTAACATCATTGGAAGATACCGAAAAGAAACTTATTTTGTTTACCTTCAAATAAATGTAAAAAATAAGATATGTTATTAATGAACAAAATTAAAAATTCTTGTTATAATTCTTTTTATTAAATATGCTCCAAATCTTTGTTTCGCTACTCCAAAATTGCTTTTTTGTTTCTCCAAAGATGCTCCAGAGCCATGTTTTGCCACTTGCACCACTGATATAAGCACTTAGAAAACAAGGAAAGAAACAGAAAAATTGGATTTTTAAAGGGAAGAAAAATTATTAAAATTAGAAAATTTAGCAACGGAAAGATATCTCATCATCAGCTCACATGATTAAATCTATGAAAATACTGCTTTCTTATATTGCATTAATAAAACTAAGCAAAATATTTGAATATTATAGTGTGTGGAGCATCATAGAGAGACTGATATGTAAATAAAATTTTATCAAGAAAAAATATCAAAAAGATTAAAAAAATAAATAAATAAAACACAAAAGGAACATAAAAAGCGAGGCAAGAGGAAAGATGTCATTTACTTATGAATAAATTGCAAAAACAATATAAAAATATTTTTATTACTACTTACTTAGTGTTAATCTCCAGATTTTCCAGGATTTCTATTAGGATCCTTAGATTTTAAAGCGCTCTTGTGTTCTTCAAACTCCATTTAGTGTCATCTATGATTAATGTGTATTTCAGGTTATTTAATTGGATATTTTCATTAAATTCTATTTTTTTCCATTTGTAGTTGGAACTGCCTCCTGGATTGACAAATCTAGGCAACACTTGCTATATGAATGCAACTATTCAGTGTCTTAAAACTGTGCCTGAGTTGAGAGAAGCCCTCAAAAAGTAATTTTTCAATAACTATACTGATTTTAACTGCATTTTAGATTTATTCTACTTTATTCTAAAGTATGAATAACTATAATTTTTTTTAATAGATAAGGTATAATATGATTAGTTTTAGGAAAAAATTATAAGATATAAATTGTTTTAGAAAACAATTATTGGTTTTCTATTCAGTGAAAAGTGTAAAAAGATACAGAAGATTAACTGCAATTTTTGTTTGCTGTAGAAAATAAATAAAAGAAAATATTTTTATTTTATTTATCTATTAATTTTCTGTTTTAGAAAAAAATAACCAAACGATCGAATTAATATGTAGCCCATTATCGTAGAAGGTTAAATTTCGAAGTCAATGGGATATAAATTCTGAAAAACAATGCTAGACCATATTAATTGATCAAGAAATAAGTTAAGTCTTTAAATCTTTTTAAAGTGGCACCTCTGCTTATGCGTGATTTAAAGGATTTAGAACGCTTTTAATTTCCTCCCTTGATTCGATGTTTATTTGCTGTTTTTAATGTGTATATCCTCTTTTACTTCAGTTTTCACAAGAATTTTGAAAATGTATATTAATGACAGAAATTATGGAAGTGCACCTTAATTTGAATCTTGTATATTTCAGTTAAAATTGATTTTTATATCTAACTTATGAAAAACTGAAATTGTATATGAATAACTGATTTAAAATATATAAGAGACAAAGTAAACAATTGACTCTCAGATTGTTGCTACATTTGATGTTTTTATTATTATTATTTAATTAGATTTAAAATGTTTGATACTTAGCAGAGTTAGTAAAGATAGGCGTAGAAGCATTTTTAAAGTATTTTATATTTTAACCATAAATTTATTAACCCATCTTATCCAGGGAATTAAATCAATAAAAATAATGATCACTAACAAGAAGCAACTGTAATCTTTAATGTATAGTTTAGTATTTATGCACCTGTTTAAATGTAAGAATGCTTTATAATTATATATCTATTAGAAGATAAGAAATTGCTACTTCGAAAAATGAATCATAGATATGTGCCTTTTAAAATTAAAATAACTAGAAATGTAATCATTGTCTCCCTTTCAGATTTACTGGAGGATTGGCATCTGGTAACACAATTGTTCCTGCTCAATCAATTACTGCTGGTAAGTAAAATTCTTAATTATTGTGAGAAATCATCTTCAGTGTTTTCATCATAGAAAAAAAATGGGTGACAATTTCTCACCCTTTCTCAAAAACAGGGTGAGATTTCAGAAAGTTAAGTGAGATTTCTAAAAACTGAAAAAATACAAATAGATTTGGAAAAAAAATCATTTCTTTTATTATAATAAATTTTTAACGTCTTCTATTTTTTAAAGCATTGAATATTTTTGCTGCATCATCATAGAAGATTTTGCCTTTACTAGGCATTTGTCCATCTTACATTAGTGCATAAAAAAATTTGAACGTCTTATATGAAAAACCATACCTACAGTAAACATGTGGTTGCAGAGAAATGTGTTCTGAAAGGGGTTCCGTGGTTCGGAGGGGTTGTGTTCTTTTGTTTGAAAAGGTTCTGAACAATACCTACTGGTAAATAGGGAAGCTAGATAACAGGGCAAGTGTTGAAAATAATGAAGATCCAGGAAGAAAAGTGAAATTGATTTTATTCTAAATGACGTAATTCGAAGCTTTTTGCAAAATGCGAGAATTTCGCGAATTTTGAAATTGATTTATAGAGTGCGCAAATTTCTCGCGGTAATCATTTTTTAATGCAAGAAAAGAAAAAAACATGCGAGATTCTCGCGTTCTCGCGCTGTAGTGAAAACACTGATCTTTTACTTTTAGTACTTTATTAAAATAAGTTTTTTCTTACTCTTCGAAGTCTAAGCTTTTGTATTAAATAAAAAGAGAAAATAATAATTTAGTCAGGCTTTATTATTTTTTAATAAATATTTGTTTTACTTAATTATTTTTTAGTTTCTGTGAATTACTTGATTATTGTAATCTCAATACTAAAATGTTTAGTACAAAATAATTGAATAAATACAGGGTTGCCGCAGGCGACTATTTGCAACTATCTTCTACCTAGGGCGAATATGGGAACTTTTTTTTCCCTGAAAAGGCTAAAAAAGCAACTATTTTTAGGAAAATATAACTATTTGGTGACTTTTCTGTGCTCCTAGCTATGTTTTGTAGCATGAATTGGGTTGACAACCTGTGGCCTGCGTGAGCTTCTGAAAACAATGAATTTTTGTTTATATACATATATGTGTGTGTGTGTATTTGAAATTCTAGTGATTAAAAGTATTTAATTTTCTGCAAATAAAATTTTTGTGATATAAAAATTTAATGCTAGAACACTAATGTTTATATGTATAAAAATCATCATATTTGCAACCAACTTGACTAAATCTATCGTGGTATATGACCATTAAATAATTTAACAAAATGATAGTTATATTGAAAATTTTTTGTTTTTATTTAGGCAGCTATTTTCATGCTTTTGGCTACTAAAAGCAAATAATTTTGTTTATTTTTTTCTATGGTAATATGGCTATTTTAATAAGAAAAAAATTAATCTTTTACTTATTGCCCAATATGTAAATTTCTTAATTATGGTTATGATTTTAGGTAATGGATACAGCTCCCAAAATTCTTATGTGCATTATTCAAATTTCAAGTTCTATCTATGTTTTTAGGCAACTTTCTTAGAGCAAAGTTTCCATTCAGGACATGTTTTGCTTTTTCAAGTACAACATAATATGACATAAGTAAAACATGCCGCCATTTCCTGATAACTTGAATTTCATAAAATCAGTAAAAGTTCAATTTTCTGTTAGTTTAATTGGTTAGCAACTTTTAAATAATAATTATTGAGTACTTAAACTAATATTTATTAACTACAGATCTCCTTTTCTGTGCTGATGTAACCACTTAAAAAACCTATTACATTTGGTGAAAAGTACATATTTTCCTTTTTTTTTTTGACAAAGAGTTCATATTGTTTAAGGGTATTTCTCTTCCTTACATCGCGTAAAAAATTGTTTTGGAATGAGGAATTATTCATATTGAAAGTTCAATAAGACATTTGTAACAATTACCAAAAATTATATGACATTATTTATAGTGAAATTAATTAATATGTTACTAAAAATATTTATATTCTATTTAATATATTAATTGCTTTAAATAGTAACTTTTATTGTAGTTTAATATCAATTAATGATGTTCAATCTATGATTTGGAAAGCATATGTCTGAAATATTATGTTCAGATTGTTTTTAATAACTGGAGCAAATCTAATGACTGTTTATATATTACAGCATTGAGAGATTTATATGATGCTATGGATGCCTGTGGGGCAGAGTATCAACCTTTAATTCTACTACAAGTATTGCACATGGCATTTCCTCGTTTTGCAGAAAAGAATGATCATGGTACATACATGCAACAGGTTAGTGTTTTGTCTAGCATTTGCAGCAGAACTTTGATTGATTGTTATTCGAGGAACCAATTGTTGTGAATGATAGATGTGGGAAAACAACTAATGAGAATCAACATAAAATGCCAAATGATGACTTTAAAAGTAATAAATAAGAAAGGGATTTGAAAATTAATACATTTACTATAGTTGTAGAAAAAAAATATCTAAAAAATTACTTACCTAATGCTTAAATACTTACTTCATAGAAGGGAAATGAAAGTTCATTATTTCTCAGTGCAAATAATGAATTTTCAGCATTTGTAATATACCTCTCACCATTACTTTCAATAACACTGACAAAAACACAGGTTTCAACACTTTTATCAATTAATACATAGGCATCAAACCTGTTGTTTGAGTTTTTTTTCCCCAAACAAGAATAAATCCTCATTTTCTTCTTCATTATTAGCATTAAAAGTTACTGTTTTTCTTCGCAGAACAAAAAATGGAAATTTTGAAAAAAAAATTTCAGTAGTATTTCCGAACGATAGATGTGGGGAATCTAATAGCTTTAAAAATGATGTTAACGGGTACTGTTAACATTATACGAGGGTTGCTATTTATATTTCTTGGCAACAGTAAGTGTTGCTAGGCGACCGCAAACGGTTTTATTTGAAAGTTTGATATTTTTAAACATAAATTCAGCTGACGATTTACCATTATAGCTTCATTTGTGTTGTTGACAGTAAATTGAAAAGTTCGTCTCTTTCAAAAAATGGAATTGAATCGTGAACATTTTCGTGCCATTATTTTTCATAACTTTTGACGTGGATTGTCAAGACTAGTGCTTCGATGAACTTAATTCTTTATTCAGCGATAAAGCGCCATCCTACAGCACTGTAAAAAATTGGTATAACAGATTTAATCGTGTTCGATCCAGGACGAATCCCGTGCAATTTTGTCCAAAATCCGTTGTTGTGCCAGAGAAGATCGATGCTGTGCATGAACCGATAAAGCAAGATCGTCATGTGACATACCGTGAGATAGAGGCGTCTTTGGACATTAGTATGACTAGCATCAATAAAATATTGCATGAACATTTGAGCGTAAAATTTTTTTTTTCGCATTGGATCCCGCATAATCTGACAAACGCTCAAAAAAAGGCTCTCGTGTCGATTGGTGCAAGGAAATGTTGGAAAAATACGTTCAAGGTACATCAAAGGCCGTGTATAACAGTGTGCCGTGTGCAACAGTGGCGTTAGACCAACGCAGGACGGTCAATTCTGAATGGTACACGACCATTTGTTTGCCAGAAGTCATCGGAGAAATTAAAAAAAAGCAGAAGAACAGGCGAATCATTCTTCATCATGACAATGCGAGCTCTCACACATCGACTCAAACAAAGGCATTTCTGACGGAGCGAAAGATCGAACTGATGGGTCATCCGCCGTACAGCCCTGATTTGGCACCCAATGACTTCTTCTTATTCCCACACATCAAAAATAAATTACGTGGACAACGATTTTCGACCCCCGAAGAAGCGGTTGATGCATTCAAAACGCATGTTTTGGAGTTACCTCAATCGGACTGGAAAAAGTGCTTTGAAAATTGGTTCAAACGCATGCAAAAATGTATTGATCATCATGGAGAATATTT